CACTGCTAGCCTTCACTATACACTCTGCTAGCTTCTCTACTGCTAGCCTCACTATACACCTATGCTAGCTTCTCCACTGCTAACCTCTCACTATCCACTCTGCTAGCTTCTTCTACTGCTAGCCTCTCACTATACACTATGCAGCTTCCATGCTAGCCTCTCACTATACACTCTGCTAGCTTCTCTACGGCTAGCCTCTCACTACACTCTGCTAGCTTCTCTACTGCTAGTCTCTCACTATACACTCTGCTAGCTCTACGGCTAGCCTCTCACTATACACTCTGCTAGCTTCTCCACTGCTAACCTCTCACTATCCACTCTGCTAGCTTCTCTAGCTAGTCTCACTATACACTCTGCCAGCTTCTCACTGCTAGTCTCTCAATACACTCTGCCAGCTCTCTCCACTGCTAGCCTTCACTACACTCTGCTAGCTTCTCCACTGCTAGCCTCTCACTATACACTCTGCCAGCTCCTTCACTGCTAGCCTCTAATATACACTCTGCTAGCTTCTCTACTGCTAGCCTCTCACTATACACTCTGCTAGCTTCTCCACTGCTAGCCTCTCACTATACACTGCTAGCTTCTCTACTGCTAGCCTCTCACTGTACACTCTGCTAGCTTCTCTACTGCTAGCCTCTCACTATACACTCTGCTAGCTTCTCCACTGCTAGCCTCACTATACACTCTGCAGCTTCTCTACTGCTAGCCTCTCACTATACACTCTGCTAGTCTCTACTGCTAGCCTCTCACTATACACTCTGCTAGCTTCTCTACTGCCTCTCACTATACACTCTGCTAGCTTCTCCACTGCTAGCCTCTCACTACACTCTGCTAGCTTCTCTACTGCTAGCCTCTCACTATACACTCTGCTAGCTTCTCATGCTAGCCTCTCATACACACTCTGCTAGCTTCTCTACTGCTAGCCTCTCACTATACACTCTGCTAGCTTCCCACTGCTAGCCTTCACTATACACTCTGCTAGCTTCTCTACTGCTAGCCTCTCACTAACACTCTGCTAGCTTCTCTACTGCTAGCCTCCCACTATACACTCTGCTAGCTTCTCTAGCTAGCCTCCACATACTCTGCATAGCTTCTCACTGCTAGCCTCTCACTATACACTCTGCTAGCTCTCTACTGCTAGCCTCTCACTATACACTCTGCTAGCTTCCCACTGCTAGCCTCTCACTATACACTCTGTAGCTTCTCCACTGCTAGCCTCTCACTATACACTCTGCTAGCTTCTCACTGCTAGCCTCTCACTGTACACTCTGCTAGCTTCTCTACTGCTAGCCTCTCACTGTAACACTCTGCTAGCTTTCCACTGCTAGCTCTCACTATACACTCTGCTAGCTTCTCTACTGCTAGCCTCTCACTATACACTCTGCTAGCTTCTCTACTGCC